AGACAGACCAAAAGTTGTGAATATTTAAATAAAGATACTATATCTTTTTTCTTTTCATTTATTGAAAAGAGCATGTGCATTAATGTTCAAAAAAAGAGCATGTGCATTAGATCTTTCATTATTTTCTTTGACACATAAAATCAAAATAAAAAATTAGAATAAACTCTTTTCCTTTGATAAACATTAAACTGCTGTATATTAGTATTACTTGATGGTTTGTAACTTTGTAAGATAAGATTATATCTGTATTGATTTCATTTTTCTATTAACTAGATTAACTCAACTAAAATAAACTTTACAAATTATATTTTTCTCCATGTTAATTTTCCACTGAATAAAATTTTTTGTTTTTACCCAGTTATTGCATGTCCCTGATGTCTTTGATGCAGTCTCTATTAAATCCTAGTAAATCACAGTAAAGATAAAGACCATGATAATAGAAGAAGAAAGCCGGATCTATGAAGCTCCCACATGAAAGAGACCCAAGAGGATTGACGGTGAAAACCAAAAATGGTATTTTCCTGATGGATTTTTTTCTATCTTCCCTTCACTTTACAAATACAGTGATGAGAAACTCTTAATTTGGTGAAGCTATTGCTGGATGTTCTATTTTAATGAATTGAAATGCTCTTCTGAAAGTGTATTTCTGAAGATCAGCAATGATTTCCTCACCTTTTTTTTTTCACTTCAAATTGAAGCTTAGTTCTTGGGAAATTTCCTTTTCCTGTACCCATTAGAGGTACATATATATTGGTTGAAACTTTGTAATCAGCATACAAGAAGAAGAAGAAGAAGAAGAAGAAGAAGAATGCCATTTCAGACCAAAGCAATACACAGAAAATTCTCCCTGGTTTATTGAGCTCCACTAATGTTTTGAGAAAGCTTTAAGCAATGAACAAAATGATGGGTGTAGCCTTTGTAGACCCTCTTAAACATGCAGGAAACAAGCTAAATTCCAAGTAAACTTCCGCTTAATTCTACAGAAACTTGCCCTTTTTCTCAAAATAGCAGCCCAAATCTCATCCACTCCTTGCAAATAGGTTTTGCTGATGTTAGGTCCCTATCTCCCCATTTAATGTCTACCATATGTGCTCTGAATATCTGCATTGGATGTTCACTTTATGTTTGATGCTGTGCCTCTGAGAATTGTGAAGTAGAATCTTGTTTACTGTCTGTTGAGAAAATGAAATGATTCCGTTTTGCAGTACTATTTTTTATTTTATTTTATTATCTTATTATTACTCTCAAATCGTGATTCTTTTGATGAGGTACATGGTACATCCCTCCATATAATTCAGCCTAAAAGACAACTCATTGGCCGCCAGAACTTCACCACCATGGACCTCTCCTCTCAATATCTACACCTCTGACGCCTCTACAAGCTTTCTGCAGCTTTGAATGGCTGCTCCAGCTTCCCCCACCTCCCCATTTCTGCCAAAGAAACTCCTCCTTTTCCTCAACATATCCTTTCTCTGCCTCCTCTCTTTTTTCCTCCTAAGTTATGATTTTCTTGGTCAATCCAGTATTGACCGGACCATCATTGGTGGCCACTCTTTGATTCTTCAGGAGAGCAACAGCCATGACTGCGCCGGCCTTCATGACTACTCTGGTTATAAAGCCAAGTGCTTGTATGTTAGGTCAGAGATTGGTTGCAGGCCAAAAGGGTACATAAACTATCTGGAAATCTTTTACTGCAATTTTGGCCAATTTCCTGTACTGGGCTATATTGTTCTTCTTCTTTGGCTTCTTGTTCTCTTCTATGTATTGGGTGATACAGCTGCTAATTACTTCTGTACTTCCTTAGAGAGCTTGTCCAAAATCTTGAAGCTCTCCCCGGCTATAGCTGGAGTCACTCTCCTTTCACTAGGGAATGGAGCTTCTGATGTTTTTGCCAGTATTGTTTCCTTCACAAGATCTAATAATGGAGGTGTTGGCCTAAACAGTGTATTGGGTGGAGCCTTTTTTATATCTAGTGTTGTAGTTGGTGTCATAAGCATACTGATTAGTCCTCATCAGATCTCAGTTGACAAGCCTTGCTTCATTAGAGATGTCCTCTTCTTCCTCTTTTCACTCTCTTCACTTCTCTTGATCATTTTTATTGGAGAGATTACTTTGTGGGGTGCTCTTTCTTTTGTTTCTATTTACTTTCTGTATGTTTCTGTGGTTTCTGCCTCATATCTGTTCAACAGAAAGAGAGAGAGGAAATTAAACCTCTCTGTCTCAAACACCCTGTCTGTGCTTGGCCAGGATGCAATGGGGGAGATGATGAGTGTCCCATTACTGGGTTGTGTAGATGATGTAAAGCCTGTTTTGATGGAGAAAAACAGCACTGAAGAAAATCAAGAGCGAGGCACAAAACTTTTCAATCTTGATTCTTCAACACTTTATTACTTGGGTAAGCTTTTGGAGCTACCTCTATACTTGCCCAGGAGATTGACCATACCAGTCGTCAGTGAGGAGAGATGGTCCAAGGCATATGCAGTGGTTTCAGTGACATTGGCACCACTTTTCTTTGCAGAAATCTGTAACTCTCAGAGGGAGAAGACCATGCAGTCCGAGAGCAGCCTTGTGACCTTCATGATTGCAGGATTTGTAGGGATGGTTCTAGGTAATCTTGCATTTGTGACCACCAAGAAGTCTAGTCCTCCAAAGAAATGCCTGTTGCCTTGGCTTGTTGGAGGATTCCTGATGAGTGTATCTTGGACATATGTAACTGCAGAGGAATTGGTGTCTTTACTGGTTTCAATTGGGAATATACTTGGGATAAGCCCTTCGGTTTTAGGACTCACAGTCCTTGCTTGGGGCAACTCCCTTGGAGACTTGATTGGTAATGCTGCCATTGCAATGAACGGTGGGGCAGATGGGACCCAGATGGCCATATCTGGGTGCTACGCTGGTCCAATGTTCAACACCCTGGTGGGACTAGGCGTGTCACTTGTTTGTTCGTCCTGGCTTGAATACCCTTCTCCTTTTGTGATTCCCAAAGACCATTCCCTTTATGAAACCCTGGGGTTTCTTATGGCAGGTCTGCTATGGGCACTTGTGATATTGCCAAGGAAGAACATGAGGTTGGAAAAGTGCCTAGGGGGAGGACTTCTGACCATATACCTTTGTTTTCTATTTCTAAGACTGGCTAGGGCTCTTGGTCTGCTCGAAATTTATCATGGCTCCTTGTTCACTGGAATATTTTTGTAGACTCTTGTTATAATATACATAATTTTGTAAATAAATTATTATAATCATCAATATGTATATTTCAATTGTTCTTAGTTATAATTAGGTCTGATGGCCAGAATAAGAGTTCAATTGTAAGCACAAGTAATTTCATTTTATGCTAAGAAAAGAATATTTACATATTTATGTAATTTCAAAATTTAAATCTTGATCAATAAAGTAAAAATCAATGTCTTCCTTAAACACTAAAATACCAAACAGAATACTTATATGGATGATCATCACTTTTCTTCCACTGTTCTACACACCATGCATGGTTCAATCTCTTTAAAATTATTTTATTTTATGTTATTTTATCTTTATGAGCCTTTAAAATCATTTTAAATTACAAATTAAGATAGTAATATATATTTTTTTTTGAACAGGTTTTACACGGGGCTGGGTCGAACCCAACCCAAGGGAAGGGGGAGTGCACCATAAAGTGGTTATTGTCATTTGATCTGAAGGGCTCGGTGCAATTAAGATAGTAATATTTGAAATTACGAACTAAGATGTAAATTATCAAGGACTCATTTTCTTTCATCAGCATGTGCCAATAGTACCGTTTCTGGCTCACTTATTGAAATTTGAAATTGAGATGGGGTCATGGTTCTTTTGATAAGAACACATCCATGAATCAAGAAAACGTGTTTGTTTGCTTCATCATGTTCTTTTGTTAAGTTCTGCATAATGGGGTCCCTAACTTTAGAAAAGGTGTCTTTCCTCAAGGGCCGTCTACTTCAATTTTTTGTTTGTACTCATATCCTTTATGAGCCATGATGATTTTTGGCGTATATGCCCCAACCAACCTAATTTTTAAGGGTTTATGTCCCTAAACTGCACAATTGGTGCAAATTAGTCTCCTAGTTAACCGTTATGGTTTGCCTCCGTCAATATTAGTTGATGCTGGCCAGATAAAGTTGACTTGCAAAAAATGATAAATTTTAATTCACACCATAAATTTTTCAAAATTTAAAGGGAATTAGTACCTAAACTTTAGCTAATTTACTGAGTACTCAAACAAAATAAGTTAAATGCTTTCCTGTGTCCCTATTGCTTCCTCTGCTCCACCAGTCCATTGTTAAAGTATGCTCTTTTATCTTTTTTTTTTGCATTAATCTATAAATTTAATGCTTTAATGGGTTTTCTTTTATCTAACATTCAAGAAAAAGAATGCAATATTAATCAAGGGTTTGGAGAAGAGGGAGTGGCAACTGCCTGAGGTGAAAGAGCACAAATTTGCCTTAGGAATAGGCCTCTAATTTTTTGTACTTGGCAAATTACTTAACGTTTAGCAACTAATTCAATTCAAAATTTGAAAAGTTTGTGGAGTAAATTGAAATTTATAATTTTTTGCAAGCCACTCAACGGAAAACTAACTGGCATCATCTAATATTAACAGAGGCAAACGGTAGTTGTTAACTGAGAGACTAATTTGCATCAATTGAACAGTTTAAGGGTTTATATGCTTAAAAATTAGATTAGGGCCTATGCACGGAAATAGAGAAAGTTTAAGTTGAGATTTTGCAAAAGAAGAAAGCTTAATTTAATAAATTATCTATTTTTCTATTATTTTAAAATCTTTATTTTTTTTAAAAATTATTTTAATATAATTTAGTTGAACACAACTATATTAGTTTTAGTAACTAAATTTCACATTTTTGGTTGTGTGACACTATAAAAGCTGTCACCCAAGCAGCTATGGGGCTTGAAAAGGAGGCAAATTTGTTTCAAAAATTTCCACCGTATAAAGCAATTTGTTTAAAAAATTTTCACCATATAAAGTAAATTATTATATTAAATTTAGCCCTAAATAAAAAATAGAGATTTTCCCTCCCATTTTCAAGCCAAATGGCAGCTTTTATGGCTAGTTATGCAGTACTACATAACTAAAAATGAAGAATGCTGTCAATTTAGTTAATAAAATTGTGTTAAACTAGATAAATTTAAAAGTTAATAAATGATTTTGAGAGAAAATATAAATTTTAAATTAAAATAAAAAAGTTAATCGTTTATAGATTATATATTAAAAAAAGTCAAAGATAAAAGCAGCAAGAGGAAGTTTGCCCTTAATTTCTTTTCTAAAAGAATAAAAATGGAAAATAGTCAAAATACAAGACGCGACGGTAGATTTTTGAAGTTTTTAATTCTAAAATGTTCTCACAAAAATTCCAGTGGTTTTTTTTTTTTTAATTATTATGTAATTTAAATTATATCAAATTATATAACAAAAATCATTAGATGAGAAATAGATCTTTTAATACTAAGGGCTTCTTTTTTCAATTATTTTTATTTTATAATTTAATATAATTTAAATTATAACATATAAAATTCTCTTTTTTGTATATCTAATAACGAATTATATGCAAGAGATAATTTTCTTTTTTTTTTATTTTTTTTACTCATCTTAATATTTAAATTTAAGATTTTTAATTTAAAATATTAAATTCTTAAGTACTTAAAAGAGGTACAATATTTTATAATTGTTGTAATTCATCCATCCAAAAATTGTTAAAGAAGTTGGTACTTAGGTTGTAATTATTTGCCGTTAGAGATTCATTAGTTAATAAGAACTATTTTACAAATTAAATTTAAAATTAAAATTTGAAAACAATATTTAAAAATTTTAATTTTTTTAAATATAACATGTTAATATAAAAATGTAAATTAAAATTACTTAGATAAAATTAATTTTAAAATGTAAAAAAAAAAATTCAAAGACGGTCAAATCTAAAAAGAAAAAGCGAAAAAAAAGTGTAATTATCCATAGTACCAGGTACACTGCCCTACAGATCCGGATCCATATCCTTATCCCTTGTTACAATTAACATGGCTTTGTCCTCCTTTCCTTAGGCCAGTTTTTGGGCGGAAGCGCCTTTTGACTCGTCATATTTTTCAAGGTGAAAAAAAAAAAAAAATGTCAATGTTTATGTATTACTTTATTGTATACACCAAAAACATCAAAACTCTTCTAAGAACATCTATAGAAAAATCTGAAATTAGAAATAATTTTATTTTAAATATTATATTAGATTTATCTTTAATTGTTCAAAAAAATAGAAGTGAAAATGTTTTTTAGTTGAATTTGTAAAAAATTAAATAGAAAAATATTTTAAAAGCAAAAATGATATTTTTTTT